ATACATCAGGGTCTAGTTGCAGCTACATAAATTTGCTTAAATCAATCAATAAGCAAAAGAAAACGGTAATATTTCAAATGATTTGATTAACAAGTCCAATTGATCCTACCTTCGGATTGCCTGGTGGAATCTCCAAACTGTAGCAGCAACCACGTGGTTGGATTTCTCCTGCAAACTGTACTTCATTGTTCCTATTCAATAAACATGCATTGGTTTATAATAGCTAATCAAGAAGATCAAGAAGGATATTTATATTCAAAATCCTCACATTTTGTAGAGGAGGGTGCAGCTTACCTCTCACCACAATGAGGACATTCAAAAGCTGACAGCAAAATCTGCACAAAATGCAAATTTTGCAGTACATTTGATGGTCAGAAAACTAGTGGACAAAGTGATAGGAATAAGAGACAGAAAATAACCATATTTCATAAGACTGATCTATTTCATGGAATTATAGAAATATATAAAAATAAAATTCAAGCCTGCGAGTAAAACACAACAATGATCCATTAAAACAGTATAAGGGACCATGAAGAAAGAATATACCTTTCTGAAGTGCGGAATTAAAGTCAGTAAAAATCTTGTCGTCCCCTGATAGATACAATACAATTTCAGGTCAGATGACAATTAAAATTAAAACATTGAATGAAGCAAGAAAATAAGATTCTAAAGAGAGTTTCCAGAGCAGATAGCAGAATCGTTAAATGCATCATTTATATTCCCTTTGAGCCTAATCGAGGTCCAATGACTATCTTTTCCAAGTCCGACATTAGTCAATTCAATATTCAATAGTACTCCATAAGAGAAGAATGTAACTAGCTCGAAGTGCACGAAAAAAGTAGCATACGGTATAAAAACCCGAATTCCAATATCCATGGATAAATAATAAACTCATAACATACAAGAGACGTGTCCTGATCAGTCGAACATATCAAGTCACCGCGATCAAAAGAGAGAGCACTGGTTTAAGCAAATATAGAGTGAAACGAGAACAAAACCAGTTTGAAATTTAAATCACATGTTAAAGAATGTTCTTTTAGGAACGGATGAGATATACATACACCAATTCATAAAACCGGGAGAAAGGAAAGACTAGTGAAACCCAATGAAATTCGTAAACTCGATCTTCTTTGAAAAAGATCCCAAAACTAAATTTTTCAACGTCTGTTGGAAACTAAAGGGTGAGATACCATACATTTTCACCGCAGCGCATGCACAGGCTTTCAACCTGGTACACAGGGACGTCTCCATCTTCTACAGAAACTGCTTCAACTACCGACCGAACATCAACAATCTGCTCTTTATTTCCATCATTGCCTTCCATGACTTCAAATTGCAGACTTGGAATCCCTTCAGAGCTTCCTTTTGTTTCTTAGAGGTAACACACTTCCGAACCTTTGCGTACACAGTGCTTGTGTTTGAAGGCTATAATGGAATAACGCACCAATACTAAGATGGAAAGTAGCTTCAAGAGAGTCGTAGATGATGCCTTACGTCCCGAGCTGCATATGAAACCGTTGGAAGAAGGCGCAAGAAAGAAATAGAACACAATCGGGTCGGACTTCGGATGTCCAGCAGGTAGGGTAAGCAAAAGAAAATGGACCAGTGATATATTGGCCACGTTTGGATTGGCGATTGTGATGGTAAAAACACATGGGAAAGTGTGAAACCTACATTTGTGGCTTATTTAGGTATAATTAATTGTTTAGATGGGTTTCTACACTAACAAACCTATGGGGAAAATGCAATCTACTAGTAGATTCCATTAAATGGACATTGAAATTTTCACCTATCAAATTTACTCCTCACATTTTCTTCTTCAGTTTTGACCATGCTCTTCTCCTTTTTAGTGTTCTCGTGCTACTCTCCCTCAGAACAGAAAGCATTACATTAGGCTGCTATTCTCCCTCCCTCACTCTTGCCAGGTCCTCTCTGTCCGTCGCTCTCGTCGGCACTTCTCCGTCCATCACTCTTGCCAACTCCTCTCCCCCTGTCATTGTCACCGCAACACATGTCAAAAACAAATCTCCCTTTCTCTTCTTCCCTCCAACTGCTCTTCTCCCTCTATCACTGTCGCCAGCGCTTTGGGTCTTCTCGCAAACAGCACACTTGAAAAAGGGCTCCCTTTCTTCTTCTATCGGCGTGGCATGTAGTCTGTTCAATCTGCGTCGACTCCCTTTATCCAATCCAGATCAGTGTTCTCCTCCCTTTCTCTTCTTCCATCAGCATGGCTACCGGTCTTCCTAATTCTTCAACATTGCTCAACCACATTGTGCTCTATAGTGTTATAATATAGGTACGTAGTTAAATAGATCTGGACCTCTGTTCTTCAATTGATCAATTTCCCTTCTGGTTGTCTGATTTGTGGATCTAGCCATTTGAGTTTGGTTTTTCCTAAGTGCATGTGTGATTTGTGGATCTAGTTATATGAAATAGTTACTGAATGTAATGCTTGATTCTATTATGGCTTTTAATTAATCAAAGGATATGGTTATATGGCTTCATTCCCTGCGTGTTAATGAACTAGAGATCAAATTGTGCAAAACTTACAACCTAATTGTAATAAGACATCCTCATCAAATTTAACATCTGCTGCACAAATGAATCGTGTTCGTGACTTAATTAAAAAGCAAATTATACAAAACTTACAAGCTAATTAGTTATGTGATTTTATTTATTTTAATTAAAAATCAAATGAATTTTAATTTATATTCATGTTTATCCGTTATATATATTTAATTAATTATCTATAATGTGTTTTCAAATTTTTTTCAGTAACAAATATTTTTATTTTATAATTTCACAAATAAACTATTTTTATTTTATCATAATAATTTTATGTTTTTTTAACTATTATCATATTAAAAACATAAAATATCAAACACTACTATTCAATAAAATTCATACAATTTTCAGTCATTTTACAACTAAATTCATTTTTCTATTAATCATCAAACAACTTTTAATCTTTTCAACTTGATTTTGTATAAACACCTATTCAAACATAAATTGTATTACACTGATTAACTTTTACTGTAACTTTAGTTTACAAGAACTAGTTAGAATAGAAGTCAATTTTGTCACTGTGAATTCAAATACACCTATTAAGAGGTACGTATACAAAGGGTTTACTATAATAACAAAACTACCCTCGGTCTTATTCAAAAATATTCGCCCCATCTCCTCCTCATCAGTCTCGCAGCTCGTTGCGATACTCTCTCCATACCGCCGTCTGGCAATCGCAGCCTCGCTCGCTCGTTGATCTGCCGTTCGGCCTTATTCTCCCTCTCCTGCCGTTTGACCGCTCTCTGATGATTAGAAAAGATTTTGGACAAACGCTTTTATCGATAAAATTAATTCGCACGTCTTGGGTAATTTACCCCCATTTTAAATTAAGTTCTACCATTTATTTTTTTTAATTCATTCACCATAATTTGACGAGATACATGCATTAACTCTATAATTTATGCTTCGGTAAAAAAAAAAAAACTCTATAATTTATGCTTTGTGAAATTTCATTTTTATACAGTTTGTAAATTAAAAGTGTAGGATAAAACAATGAGAACCCACTTCAAATAGATGGCCAAAAAAAAAGAACCTACTTCAAATAAAATAAATTGCAACAACCTTGATCAAAATTGAAGTAAAATATGAACACATGTGCATTACATTTTATTATGCGGGATAAATACTTTATTTTCTCCGGTGAGATGAGTTCTTATAGCAGTCTTCAAGCAGCTTTCTCTTGGATTCTGAATGTGTATAAATCATCATTTATGTATTGATTTAAAAAAATTATGATTTATGCCAATTCATTCCAATCCCTTAACTTGCATCATTTGTCATGTATCAATAAATTACTACCTCCGATTCTAATTATAAAACCCTGTTATAGACTATAAACGAGTCTTATAATTAGAACCGAAAGTAGTATATGTTATTGCTATGCTATATACAATTTATTCTCAATAGATTCAACTCTTCTTATGTTACAAGCAATATACCTTGAATTACATGTAAAAGAATTTAGGCAAAAAAAAAAAAGAATTGCATGTAAAAGAAGACATACACAAATGGTTGAAGAAGAATTAGTGTGCCGAAAATGGGCTGTAATTGTTCAAGCATTCAAGTCCTTAAAATACTTTTAAGCAGTAAATTTCGTAACAAGAACATTTTCAACAAATTTCTCAAAATCTAATCTTTAAAATATTAAAATAATACATAGTCATTTGGATAGAATACAATCTATACATCATTCAAAAAATAAAATAAAATTAAGAAGGAGTGTGATCCATTTTATAAATTTTAGTTTAATGTTTGTGTTAACATTTAATTTATTTTTTTAATTTTATCCTTAATTATTTCTCTCTCTCTCTGGCCGTAATCTCTTTTATCATTTTTTTCCACACCTTCTATTTCATACTTTTTTTCATTTATTACAACATGTTTGGAAACAAAAATATATTTTTAATATATTTATTATTTTTAATTATTTTTAATTTATTATTTATTATTCATAAATTAGTTATTTAAAATTTATAATAAAAAAAGAGGGAGTATCTTCTTAGTCATTTAATTGAATTGTAACGCTTGTTCTATTAATGAGATGCTATATTTTAAATGATAATAGAAATGATCTTTCATCCACTTATTTTTATATTTTAAATTAAAGTGAATATATCATTACTCATGAATATTTTGTGAGAATTTTAAATTATAAATTCAATATTTATGAATTTTATGTTCGGAAAAAAATCAATATTTGCTTATTAATGTCCTAAATTAAAATTTCATATGAAGTTAGACAATTAAGCTGTACTTTTCACTGTAGCAAATGATGCATCACTATTATTGCTTCGGTTTCTTTCTTTTGTTTTTTTTTTTTTTTTGGGGCCGAAATTGCTTTGGTAAAATCACTTGTCGCTAAAACCACAAAGCCTTGGAAATGGAAAAATTTTCAAACTTGCGAATTAAACCTCTCCTTTCTCTTTTACTTTCCACTTCCCCCAGGCAAGAAAAGAAGCAAGGCCGGAGGAGATAAAGACTCGTCTCCTTACAACACAAAAACTGTTTCACCAACAAATCTGATCTCCGATCGATCTCTCTTTCGGATCCCTTGCAAGCTATTCAGAGACGACAAGATGAGCCAGAAGCCTCTGATCTATGCCTTCGTTTCTCGAGGAACTCTGATTCTTGCCGACTACACCGAATTCAGTGGCAACTTCAATTCCATCGCCTTTCAGTGCCTCCAGAAGCTTCCAGCTACCAACAACAAGTTCACTTACAACTGTGATGGTCACACCTTCAACTACCTCGTTGATAATGGCTACAGTAGGTCTTCCTTCCTTAATTTCATTCCTACTCTTCTGAGTAAATTTGGTTTGATGTGCGATTTGAATGTAATTTATCCCTATTTAGAAAGGATTATAGAGATTAGATATGATAGTTTCTGAATATAGGGTTCTCAGACGAAAAGTTCAAGTGCGATTAGGTGGTTTGCGAAATCTCCTTTTGCTAATTCTTCACAGATAACTTCTTCATAGTGATATGTTGGTTTTATGTTTATTTTTTTGGGGCACGATGGTTGCTGTTTTCCTTGATTCAGAACACATCAGGTTGAGCTGTAATATGTTGGTATTTTCTATGTCCCGCTCTTAGCGTGCTTTTTAATATCTCCATGCTAAAAATAGAAGATCTTAAAATACAATAGATTACGCCACGCCATGTGTATTGGAGCCCACATTTTCCGAGATTAGGAGTTAAAGAGTGAATAATTTAAGGATGCTGTTAACTCTCAAAGGTACCTCTCTAGGATCCTCGAGTTATTCAAATCAACTACCTTGCTTGATGGTGGCTTGGTTTATTTTAGATATTCTAGTTCCTCTTTTAACGCTGGCAATGTTGAAACGGCGAGAAAGAGAGATCAGTCGTCCATCTAAGTTGTTGCCCATAGATACTTCCATTCTTCAGGTCGTGCTATATCTTGTTTTGAGAAATAATTCATAGATCTAAATATAAAACAGATGGTAGTAAAACAAAAGAACTAGAACAAGGTTTTCAAGTATGGAATCTGAAACCTGTAGTTAAGTTATATTCCATACTAGTGATCATCAAATGTCTCTCCATCAAAGAGATGCCTTGTAACCCTATCAACAAAACATATTTAGAGAAAAAGGGAGTTGGAGCTTTTGCTCTTATGGACATGAAATGTGACACAAACGGTCTTCACGTGCAATGCTTTGGCTGATCATAATTGCGTAAATCTTTACCATTTATCTTCTTTTTGTGGACTTATTGGCCATAAACAAGAGGAAAATCCTGTTGGTATTGAAATTGCTTTTGCATTTCACTGGATTGTATACGGTAATTTCTTTTTAAAAAGTGCTGCTTTCAAATTCCTCCGATGACAGGCTAGCCAGAATTAAAGAAGAAGAACTATGTTTGGAATCCTCAGAGTGCTCTATTTATTACTATTTTTTACGCTATATAATGATTTTGCATGTTTATCTTTTTTCAATCTTTTAACCTTTACAAATTCGCTTAATTTGATGATATATGTATTGCTGGGAGGAAATAGTCGTATTCTGGCGTTGTTGGACATAGTTGGCATGAACAAATGCCTGTTTTAGGGAAGAAGGAAAGAAAGAAAAACAATATTAGGGTTTATATCTGGGTTGTAAGGTTTGAAACTGAATCAACTTTTCATGATAATTCACAGTTTTAACCAATAAGTATAGAAGAAGGAAAGAAAGAGAAACAATATTGGGGTTTCTGGCCCAAAAAAAAAAACAATATTGGGATTTATATCTGGGTTGTAAGATTTGAAACTGAGTCAACGTTTCATGATAATTCACAGTTTTAACCAATAAAGTTTGAAAACCACTGTGCTTGGATGAGCCTCTTATTATTGGTCAAATGTGATAGGAATCCCTGCCTATAGAGTGGTCAATAAATAAGCCATTAGACCAATTCTTGCTTCTTAATTTTATGCTTTAACTCAGGCTGGGTTGAGATTGTTCTTGAAAGAACTCATCTTTGCAATCATAATATCAACTGTGCGTGCAATTTTGTTAGAGGCTATTGTAAATCTTGAAGGTCGTTACTCTGCTGACAGATGACTGACTTTTGGAATGCTGTAGCATATTGTGTTGTTGCAGATGAGTCGATTGGAAGACAGGTACCCATGGCTTTTCTCGAGCGTGTCAAGGATGATTTTGTGGCCAAATATGGTGGGGGAAAAGCTGCTACTGCTACTGTCAACAGCCTTAACAAGGAGTTTGGGTATTTTGCTTTTGTTTAAAATTAATAAATTAAATGTTGGAAGACGTTTCCTGTGTACGCGCTGGTATAAGAGGGTCTTTAATGCAGGCCCAAATTGAAGGAACATATGCAGTACTGTGTTGAGCACCCTGAAGAGATAAGCAAGCTTGCAAAAGTGAAAGCTCAGGTTTCAGAAGTTAAAGGAGTCATGATGGAGAATATTGAAAAGGTAGAAATTTAGTAGTTAGCAGCATTGGTTTTAGGGTATAATACAAAGATTCTGCATTATGTTGGAACATACGAATTTGTTCAATTATTTATGAACAATAATGACTATAGAATACAGAGAGTGAAGCATCAGAGCTACATGCACGGAAACCTCATAGCTATGATGAATATGTTAATCTTGGCTAGCATTTTATAAAATCAACCACAAATCTGCTAAAACTATTTTAATTTGTTTTATCATTTTTCGGTTTGGTTCAGTGGTTGGTCGGTAAAAAACTCCAACTCCACTCACCAATTAGTATAACTTTGGACATTTTAGACGCAAATCGATTACTTCTTTGTTTGTGAAACTGCCTGTTATTATGCACCATCTAATGTGCCTTTTCCTTTGAAGTCTGATCCAATCCCATGCCTCTCTTGACATCATTCCGTCACCTAAGTTTAGTTCCGGAATTATCACTGAATCAGTCCTTACCCCTAAGGCCCAAATACTCCCACATGAAGCCACTCTGTGTGATAGATCTTAAATGCAAGGCCACTCACCATCTCATCTAAATTGGAGCTTCATTTTTTGAGGTTGACAGATCCTGCTCTTCTCTTTTTATAGGTAAACAATTGACGTGTTCACTTAGGAGTGTTGAAATTGACTAAACTTAACTGGTGGACCATGAGCAGTGGAACACCCCAAATGAGGTTGAATTACAACTTTGATTTCAAATTTTCTGGGATACAACTTGAGAAAAAAAAGGATTCTGTGGCATAGCTTGAAGTAGCTTGACAGCCTAATTTGAGAAAGAAAAGTGAGGGAGAGTGTAGAGAAATAATTTAGAACTTAGATGTCCTCAATTTTCATTTTGTCAGAGCTTCAGTCATTGAGGCCAATATCATAAATGTTAATTTGAGTATTATTGTGATGTTTCTTTGAACTTCTTTTATTCTAGTTGCATAAATGGTGCTTTCAAGTTCACGTATTTTTATTTTAGTCACATAAATGTGAACTTTTTGCTGTTTCTTTATCCCAAAGTCCGCAGAGAAGCAGCAAAAATGTAGCTATACATTTCGCATTCTTAAACTCAAGTGGATGAAGAAGTATTATGCATGCGAGGACATTTATTCATATTAAGTTGTGTTTATAATCTTATGTAGGTTCTGGATAGGGGGGAAAAGATAGAGCTTCTGGTAGACAAGACTGAGAATCTTCATCACCAGGTTAGTGTGTATTACTTTGCTATGTGGATCTGCCTGTCTTTGAGTGCTTGAAGGTTTATTTATGTGCATTCTTTGGCGAATATGCGAGTATTCTGCTTTCTTGAATATTTCCCTTAGTTTCTACCGGTATAATGAAAATTGGATTGAACTGATGGAGCCGTAAACTGGTGTTTGAACCATTCCAGAATTTTTACAAAATTGGTAAAAAAAAAAAAAGAGAGAGAGAGAGAGAACAAGTTAAGCCAGTCAAAAATGGGGAAAAAATAAAGAAAACCAGCCAAGTTATTGGTTTGACTTGGTTCGAACCCTTGTCTTGTTTTTAGCTCTTGGCACAAAATAGTATACTTTCCGGATAAGCTTTTCTTCCTATATTTAACTGGTATGCAAGCATTATTATTTCATATAATTACTACCTCTAGTCCTTAATATAAGACTTAGTTGATTAATTTGGATAAATTAACAAAATTAGTTAAATTAATTATTTATAGTAAACAGATGTTGTCTTTTCTAAAATACTTATTAATCATGGGTGTTTGAATTATCCATTGATGGTAATTTCTTAACATATGCAACTACTATAGGAATTACTTGAGGGTAAAATAAATAAAATATTTGAGACAAAGTGAATTGAGATTTTATATTTAAGACTATGTTAAACTAGCTTTTATACTAAGGATCCGAAGGTAGTATTAGTAATTAGAGACTTAATAATCTGACAATGGATTTAGTTTTCTATCTTATTTACATTTGGATGCTAACTTGTGAATCTTGTTTAACTAATAGCTTTTAATTTTTTTCTATATAGTTTTTTAATGTCCAGTGCAGATTTAAAACATTGGTTTCTGCAGAATCTCTGGCACTGGTTTGATGCTCAAGGATTAAAGTTGAACAGTAAAACAGTCCTACTATTTAATGTCCCACTGATTCTTGCAACTAGAAAACCTAATCACATTACACCAATCTACAACTAAGAAGATATTTAACACTATTTATCACTTAGGCAACATAAATTTACAAGTGAAACAATAGCTATTTATCATTAGGAGTCGTTAGGAATGAAAGATCTGTGAATGTGGTCCTCAAGCGTAGTTCTTCCAAAAGAAAATAGAATTAGAGTAGTATGCATCTAGATTCCAATTTTAACTGCTTGCCCCCTTGTCTTTTGATGCCAAAAACCAATTTCATTTCAGGCACAAGACTTCAGAAATTCAGGGACCAAAATCCGTCGGAAAATGTGGTTACAAAACATGAAGATCAAGCTGATTGTATTGGGAATTTTGATAGCACTCATTCTCATAATCGTCCTATCTGTCTGTCATGGGTTCAACTGTGGAAAATGAGCACCACTGTCCTTGAAACATTTTATATTGTCGTCTGAAACGTTTTGTGATTATGTATGAGGGAAAATATCACTTCTTGTTATGACTCTGTATGTAGTAAAGTTAGCTAGGCCCATATATCGGTAACTTCTTTGCAGTCCCTAGATCTTACAATATGATGGAATTCCCTGACGAATATTAAATTCTGTTAAAATCTACCTTCCATTCTCTATATTGTTGCATCTCAATTATCTGTTTCCTCCATTTGTTAGAAGGGAGATGGATATAGAACCCTAGCCGAATATTAGTTTAAGATATGGGAAGACTGGCATTCTTAGCTATACTTGGTTTAGTGGTTTGCCAAACATAAATAAATCAAGTGAGTATTGAAAAAAGAAATGTATTTTGTGATGTGTGAATAATAAAATAGTTAGTTAGGGGGAAATCAGGAAAGAAGTAGCCGTTAGAGCAGTCGTTATTCTTGGTCATTCCTAATATCTATATATGTGGGTTAAGTGGTGATTGTAATTCCTTATGTTGATTCTCTCTTGATTTCTCTCTCTCTCTCTCTCTCTGTGGTTCTTTCCTCTCAGTCTCTTCTCTCCATTTTTGTATTCCTTTTCTACAACCCTCTTACCAATTTGATAAGTTTATCGCTTCAACGTGCCATGATATTGAGGGCCAGAAAAAGAAACCCGCCATGATATGTTGTCAATAAGGGGGTCTCTTGATGCAACATCAAAGTCCATACTTGACTAGTGATCACGTGATTTCTCACATACCTATATGTAGTGTATCAAGAAATTTTTTTGTTTTGGGTACAATATCAAGGTTTTAGGTTGAACTAAAGAAGCTAACCATATATCTTTTCTAGTTGCCAAAAATCATGTATCAAGCTTTTTAAGTTGAATTAAAGAAGCTAACCATATATCTTTTCTAGTGACCAAAAATCCGAAAAAGCATGTATACTTTTCCGTCCTAAATGTAGGATCTAATTAAGAAGTAAATTTTTTACTAGACGTGAGGCCTGAATTCATTATGTCATCCATATTTATCCTTTTTTTCCAAACTATCTCCAATAGTTTTTAGAAAAGGATATTTTAAAATATTATAGTGAACAGGAAAATAATATTAGGTTTATCAGGTGTTCTGTTTAGAAGGTTGCCCATGAAATCATATGGTTTTTTCAATGGTCGGTTGAGGTTTTTCATAAGGAGTCAAAATGAAATTATTTACCTTTCTTTTTGTTGGTTGAGTTAATTATTCGTGTGCAGAGTAAAATTGTTCATGCTTCATTTGTTTAAGGGAAAAAACACAAGTGATCCCAGAGGCCTTTTTTTCTCCAGATACATAGGCAAGCTAAAGCTTGAGAGAGAGTCTTCTTGTTCAGCCCATGTTTTAGAAGTTTGGGTCCAGTTTTTAGACCCATTTCGCAATGAGGTTAAAATCAAATGCGGCTTATATTACTTGGAGTTACGGCCCTTATTTCTCTAATTAATTGGAAAAATGAAGGAAAAAAAATTCAAGGGAAAATGATAGACAAAGACCATAAAAATTATAAAATCTTAAATCAAGATTCGTTATAATTCTTTAGCAGATTTTTGACAACAATTGACTTATAAATAACAACATATTTTTATGAGAATCCCTGATTTGAGATTTTGTAGTCTCTATGATTTTTTCTGTCATTTTCCCAAAATTCAGGCCCCACAATATTGTTTCGTTCATAACTTTTTGTTTTAGAAAGTATATTAATTAAACTTGTAAAAAACAGTATCTTAATTAATATAAATGATGTTATAAAATATCCAGCACCTCGCATGTATTCAATTATAACTTACAAGACATCGGCCATTCCAATTCAGCCATTCAGAATTAAAATGTTTTACTAGTTTAGACAGAGAACTTTGCCTGTCTTCCCTTTAAAAAAAAAAAAAAGCGAAGAGTTTTCTCTTGAATATACTATTTCCAATCCTAATTATAATACCTCGTTTGTAGTACAAATGAGGTCTTATAATTAGAACTGTGGGTAGAATTAATTTTTGAGACCAGTCATGCATATATAAATCCATTTTGTATTGTGTCTGTGAACTTGCTTTAAGCTAAAATCATTGTGCCATGACATATACATGGTTGGAAATGCTATTAAAAATTAAAGCTTCAGTGCCATGACACGGGCGGGGTATTCTAGTTTATGAGATTTTGAGGGTTTAATTGGTGGAAGTGTGAGATTGAATTAGCAACATGACTCTTGCATTTCCCAAGGGGTGTTTAACTGTGACGGCTTTCAACCACAATATTTCATATTTTTTCATGGCTCAAATGTTACTGATTTTGAATTCTATTCTGTTATTAATTTCATTGATCAATTTAAAACTCTTTAAATATTGGTGCAATTTGATGGTGCTATACTATTATACTCACTATATATAAATATATTCTCCAATTATATATATAAGATATTTTAAACATTTTTCACGCAGATTAAAAAAAATTGTTCAATTACTTTATTTGTTTGAAAATATCCTAGTATTCTAATTATGCCCCCCAATGGTTAAAAAAGAGACCTTATAATACCCCCTAAAGTTATAAAAAAAAAGAGCTAGAAAAAGAATAAGGTTAAGAATCAGACCTCATTTAATGTTTTAACTAATAACTTTTTAATTTGGATCAATTTTTGTTTTTAGAAGACAATTTATATAAACAACTTGAGAAGGCATACCACAAAAAACTCTTACTTCTCTGGTCTTATTTATAAATCACTTCCAACATGTTTTACATAGACTAAGAACAACCTTCAACTTCATTAACTCTCATTTAAAATTCAATAACTTTTTACTTTTATTTCTATTTAATATACACTATACCTCATGTAAACAAAGTCAAAACAATAATAAATGAAGGTTAAAATTGTACATATGTACAAAAAATTTCTCTCAATGCTTATAAATAGGATCAAAATATATTTTTTTCTCTGTCCTATAAATAGGACCAAAAGAGTACTTTAATTTGACTTCTGCGAATTTATAGCATTAATTAATTACACACAAGTAAATGTTTTTTTTTTAATTACCACAACTTTTGGGAAATGGAAAGTTAATCGTCTCCCCATCTCTAATAAGGTAGTCGATTATCAAAACACTTTTGAGTCTGATATAGAATCTCACTCTAGCATGGTAATAGCTTGTCATTTGGGCACAACGTTCTAGTTTCTTTTTTGCCAAAATCTCTACTCTGGTACCAAAATAAAAGCTCATTTTAGGGTCTCTTACTAGAACTGTTTAGTTAATTATGAACCAGTAACCAACAAGTTAATAGATAAAAGAATTGAACTTTTTAAACTGATACTTACAAAAAGCCGGACGATGTCCAAAACTAATTGTCAATTGACTTATATCATACATAAATTAATTCAAATATATATTTCATTGGAAAAAATACTTTACATGTTTATAACTGGTTCCTTGTAATAAATTATATGGTGGCCTAGGAATGCCATGCAATTTTCACAGAGATTAAGAACAATTCAAACTTATTATGAACGGTTAAGCCATTATAACTTTTATATTATATGTAATCATTTTTCACTGATGTTATTGATTAATCTATTTAATAATGGAAAGTGAGAGATTGGTTAGTGACTGGATTTTAATACAAAAGTTTCTCAAGCGATTAAATTTATCTATTTTTTCAAATCATCAAACTTTAATTCATCTTTTTTTTTAATTTTGAAAAAATACTGACATTTTGAAATTATAAATATCATGGGATTCATGATTTTTAGCTATAGAAGAGCTTTTATACTATTATACTATAAAAGTTATAAAGTCATCAATAATACCAACCCATCGTTACTTGGTGAACTTCTGAAGTTATCCAAAAGCTAACAAGAGGAAGAGACGTACAAGTCTGTGAAGGTTCCGATAATTTGAAATGGTCTGAAGTCGAGATTTTTACTTCCACATGCATCCACCTTTTCTGAATATTTTAATTTATTCACGTTTTATATATTCAGTTTTAAATATCCTTTGGACAGCTTATATATATTAATAATTTTATTATTTTCTATTTTTGTGGCTACGTAACGGTTTTATAACTCACCCCTCCTCAACTAATCCAATATATATTATCATGTCAAAGAAAGGCATGGATTTGAATTTTCTTAAATCAGTAAAAACAATTAGAAAATTATTAGATGCTGACCTATATTATTATTTTAATTTATTCATTTGTCCACCGTCACGGATAATAAATCAAAATGATTTTTGAGAAAGTCAAGATGTTGTGTTCATCTTTTATATAATTAGAGGCTGGCAGCTTCACGAGTCATGTAAGGCCAAAGAAGAAAAAACTGAAGATGGTTATAAGCACCAGAGGTTAGATGGGATAATACTCTTATCTAATCCTATACTTACACATGTATTAACTACATATATTAATCAATTAATGGATTACAAAATTCAAAAAGAAAAAGAAAAAGAAAAAAAATTGAAGAGCAACGATCAAATCGGGCGGCAGTTTTAAACAATTAATTATTCAAAGGCACATTGGATCAGCAGATTCATATATTTTATTTGTCGTTGTCTTTTCACTGATCAACGTTTCACCTAACATTATGAATGGCAGAATTCTGGGTTTTGATGATCTTAATGCATGATTTGATTTGATTCCTTTCTTCTAAGTTAGGTTATATAAATATAAAAATATATGTATATAAATGTGTGAGTATGTATATAAGATCTTTTTAGTTAATTATTTAATTACGTATGATAATTACAATAAAATAGGTCGAACAAGTTGTGAGGAAGCATGGTGGCGGTGCAGTTATTGAAAATGATTAATTAATGTATTAATTATTGCCTCCCAATGCATTATCTTTAATTTGTTCCTAAATTAGAGTGTTAATTATCCTGTTAATTATTTAATCTGACATGACAGGCCCAATTGCAACTTTTTTTCAATTAAAATATTTGAATATTTTTAATTAATTAGGTGAATATAAATATACATATATATATAGAGAGAGAGAGCAGGCCAAAAGTAATCAAACGTGCATGTTGGGTAAAAAGCAGTAATAGTAGTAAGTAATAATAAATATATGGATTTTTGTCACCTGAAAGCAGCTTTATTATATATATGAATGTAGGACCAAATCAAAAATATGATTAATTAAATATATATGAACCCTCCATCTCTTTTATGTGTTGGATGATTATCTCTTTCGGCTTAAAT